CCGCCGCCGCCGCCGCGCTCCGCCGAGGCGACCCCAGGCGGCGTCCCCGGACTCGTGGTCGCTCTAGCCCGTACCGGGCCCGCCGCCGCTCTCCGTGCCGCCGCTGTTGAAGTTGTAGTGGAGCATGGCCCCCAGCATGGTCCAGCCGCCCAACGAGTAGAGCAGCGCCGCCCGCGCGTTCCACACCGCCGCCCGCATCGTTGTTCCCCCCCCCCGCCCTGCCTTCCTCAGTAACCCCCGCGCTCATTGGTCGGGCCCCGCCGCCAATCAGGCGGCACGCCGCGCAGCGCGCGCGCATGCGCCCTGGGCTGCGGAGCGGGAAGGAAGCGGAAGATGGCGGCGGGGAGGCAGGGGCTGCTGCTGCCGCCGCCGCCGCCGCCATAACCCAAAAGCCGCGCTCCCGCTGGAAAACACAGCGCCTGGGGGCGGTGGGAGGATGGCGGCAGGATGAGGGGCAGAGCGGGTTACGCGGCGGCGGCCGAGAACCCAGTTTGGGGGGGAGCTTCGCGACTGACGCGGCCGAGGGGGTGTGAGGTGATTCAGGCCGGCGCAGGGAGCCCACCGGGAAAACGGCCTAACTCGGGTGCAGAGCCCGAGTTAGCAAGAGCTGCACCGCCGGCTTTCAAGCCTGTTAACGCTGGGCTGAAGCGAGAGAAGGCAGGGCCTGACGTGACCCTGAGGCAACGCTTCAGCATGCCACCATCGTGCTCAAAGCACAGGTTGTACATTTCGCCCCGTCCCTGCGTCTGTCAAAGCGTTCTCCACCATCTAATACGTCTTCTGCACTGCCTTACCTTTAGAAGCTCCTCGAAGTTATTTTCCAATAGCATGTACACACCCCAGTGTTACTTTTCCAACAATGAAAAGGAGGTAGGCCAAGTCCATTGCACATACAGCTGAATTAGGGATAGCACTAAATAGCAATGCTCTTACCCAGTTTTATTTTTCATTAATACAGTCCCTGGTTGCTAAAAGACACCTTTTAAGAACACACAACATTAAAAATTAAGCTAAAGACTGTTAAAATCTGTATTGGCTAAATCATCCTTTAGTTCTAATTACAATGTATGAAAAATGTAGAGTAAACAGAATATAGACAAAAAGGAATACAAATAAATTAATATCTAGAAGGGCCAAGTAAAAAACTCTCCCTGAATATTTATTTCATTTAATACTTAAAAACCTTAGTCTAAAAGAGAGACAAGGAAATGTAAATTAATTGCTCCACTTCTGTCATCAACATGATCTATGTAACTCTTCTGCTCTTGCTTCTCGGTTTGATCAAAGTCATGATGCACTTGAAACTGCCAGCTTTTTTAGATGGTCCATGAATACCTGGAGACTAACATCATCTGTCAAGATTGGAGCTCCCGATTCCTGCAGAAAAATAAATAACGAGCCTAAAACAGTGGTATTAACACCGGGGACTAACTGAAAGCAAACCAGATGTCAGCACTCTGAACTAATTGCCTGCTAAATCAATCACCTTTTTTCCTGCAAAGGACAGATCTAGTGGAAAGATGCTACTCTGGCAACAGTAGTGACACTATCCTCTAGTGCAATCGGAGCTGCTGGAAAAAAGAAAGTCTCTTCTCTCTAAAGCATTAGGAATTTTGCTGCGCAAGCTCTACACAAAGGTGAAGAGGATATAAAAGTCCAGTATTCTCAGAAAATTCGATCTGTATCCATATGCTAGTTACCTTTTCCAGAATACTGAATACACTGCGACTTAAGGGTTTAAAATCATATTTGTAGGGAAGGGTGAGGATAAAGTTCTACATCAGGTCATCTGAAACTTGTAAGAACATATTCTGCATCAAATTAGCTGCTTCCTTCAAAAGCAGCCACCACAGAAAATTCTCCTGGTCTGCCTGTGCCCCACGTGTAGCTGGGATACAGGAAGGGAGGTCAAAGGGGCAAAGCACTCCTTGTGGAGACCACTCATCTCCTGCCATCAAGCTGCTGAGGTACTGAGCTGTTGTGGCAGCGCCTTTATGTGGACAGCCGTTCCTTGGATATATTGAAAAAAAGCCCCAACGCCAGCTGGATTTTGCTGAAAATTTGGGGGGATTCAGTACAAGAACAGGAACACAAGTTTAGTCATCCAGGCTTGAAAACTGTATTCTGATCATCTTGTCATCTAGTGCTCCCCACCAACAACCATGGACTGGAATAAGCATGCTGAATAAAAATCTAACCTGCCTAAGCTTTAGAGACAAACCTAATAAATCAGTTGTGTCTTTTAAAATGCTACAATTACTGCAGTCTCAGCTGGTAATTCCATTATTGGATCCTTTGGTACATAGAAATAACCTTGTTTCCTTGCACCGCAAAGCATGGTAAGATGTTCAAATCCAGTCACATATGCCTGCAAAAAGCTCTTGGGCAAGAAGTGGAGGACAAATGTAACCTGCTCCCAGTTTGTGGCCATGTGATGAAACAGGATGGCTAAGGCGTAGACAAATATGTAATTGTACAGTTTACAGCATTCCCAAACGTGACCAGCTCTTCCATTGCTTACCTGTCCCCACGCATAGAGGTTATTGTGGGTCTGAGAAGGGTTCACTTTAGACAAGAGGAACCGGGCCTATTAAGACAAAACATTAGAGAAGTAGTTTTGCAAAATGACAGACCTGTCAGCTCCCTCAAGACTTCTTACCGCCTTTGATACACTACTAGTGATGTTCCTCTGCTTTTGCAAGCAAGGTAGTAATTTAACTTAAACAGGTTTCAAGTCTAGAAACAGCCCTGCTCCACAGAAAACTTGTCTCCAAGGGGCAGAGAGTGCTCTGCTACAGCAAGCGGCACTCGCCTGGCAGAGCAGCTCTGGTTCCATGCGACACAGGCATGTCACCAGCACTGTCCCTCTCATGCCCCCATCTGCCTTTCAAAAAGAGGTCAGTGGAGGACCAGCATAACATGGTCACATCAAAAATTAGTACCAAATCTTTGGTTTGGAGCATGAATTCCTGCCTCTTCACTGCTACAAACAAGCCAGGTACAGACAAGCACAGCACAACTGCAGTTCCAGGAAGAACAAAAATAGGAACTATTTTATATCCTCATTCAGCATTAGAGAATAAAGGAACAGATGGTCAATCATTCAGCATAACTTGGCTGTCCTAGCAAGCTAAGTGTCCTAGCACTCCCTGTCTTGGTTAAGTTTAGATACATAGCCAAATCATTTCTTTCCCACCTCTTTGGGGGATAGAAAGATATTTAAGCTGGCTTTTTCTTTTTTTTCCATCCTCAGATTTCAGAAGCATATCCAGCAAGTGACTGGCTTATTAAAAGACAAAGTTGTAGTAAAAGCTCATGAGAAAATAGCAGGCTCTGTACTTTGAAGAGCTAAATTACCACTGTATTTAACTTACAGAACCATCCTTTTAGTAAAGCAGCAAGACAGCTATTTGCTCTATTCAACAACAGAAAGAGTTCCTCAATAAACCTCCTTACCTGACTGCCCCCGTGTTCCGTGTGGATGTAACGCGGCATTGGGAATCTAGTCTGCAAGATTTCCTGGGCGTCATCCAGTGGGGCTTGCAGTAGGTGCTTGAAGTTTTCATATTCAGGCATGTCTTGGTAACCAGCTTTCTGCCACTGTGCAATAGTCTATTGAAGGGACAGGGAGAAAATTAAAAAATAGTAGAGATGTTGGCAAGCCTTCCCTTTTTAACCCACACGTCTTAAGGCAGCAGAACATTACACGTACTTCTGCTTACAGAGCACAGGGCAAATGCACATTTTCACTACTCTGGCAATAACATTATTTAGTTTCTGTTCCTGAATTTAAGAACAGGCATTCAACACAAAAGCTAGCAGCAGTTTGTGCAGTGCAAGAGCAATTCGTTGAAAGGGATCTTCAAGCCTTTATGTTTCAGCCTGCACCAACATAGAAACACAAAGCATTTATAAATCACTGATGTTTTGAATCTGACTTGGTCTTACACGAAGCAGCCACTGCCTTACAGTGGCTAACCACATGTACCTAACAGTTGCCGTGTACACATGCAGATCACACACTTAGCTCTTCCTGTGACTAAGTTCTACCCAGTTGCTGGGTGTCTTGCTCTGCAACAGTAGGTAGAAACTGTTCAAGGTAGCTCTGGAAGATTTATTGTCATTGTTGAATCAAGCGTTCAACTCCTGTCTGCGTCAATCGGGTATCCCTACTCAATTCTCAAAGGGGACAAATACTATATAGAGCGAGGTTGGGAGCTAGTAATGGAGCTGCTGCAAACTATCGTGCCGAACTTCAAGCATTCTAGTAGCAGTCATTAAATGAAGTAGCTTAGTTCAAAAACAAAGGTAAGAGTTAAAATGCCTCCCAAAAAGTTTTCACTAATAGGAATGTTTGACCATAAACCAAGATGGTTTTATTTAAACTACTCCAATCTGATGCCATGTTTAGGTAGAAGAAACTGGATGAGGGCCACTACCCAAGCAGGGCTATAAAGGAGATCAGAGATTTTAAAAAGCATCAAAGAACAGGGAGATTTCCAGAGAAAGAAGTGGAAAGCCAGTTTCCTCTTCATCCCTTACCCCACAACTACTTTAGGATGTGAGACATTTCTATTACCCAGCTACAGTAGTGTACCACTCCCTTAGAAAACCTGACAGGACTGAAATACAGATCTACAGGTCTGCATACTGAAGAAGCACTGGAAAGCCACGGCTTTGGACACTGGTATAAATCTGCATGTTTAGAAAGGGCCAGTACCTAAGCACTTACCTCAGTCACCATCAAAGGAATACAAGAGCAGCTGTCAAAAACATTCAGTATTTAAAAGCAAAAACTGGAAAAATTTCTAACTGATTTCTTTAAGAGCAGTACTATTTAAGTGTCAAAACCCAGCAACCAAGTATTATCACTTATCTGAAAACCAGACTGCAGCTCTCTGCCCTGCTTAGTTTCAAGTTTCTCTGGCCTTTTCCAGGAATGGTAAGGAACCACCTTCATTAGCAAGCTAACATGACAGCTGTTACTCAGTGCAGAACATACTTAGCGGCTCCACTAGGACTTTTTTGTTAACTCAGACAGTGGGGAAATTGTATTAAAACTGGCAGCACGTATGCAATGTCATTACGCTAGCGTGGGCTTTGCAAGCAGCTTATTTTCTACTAACAATGATGCTGTCTGCATGCATGGCAGGAGGGAGTGCAAACAGAGAAAGAGAACGTATTTCAACGTACCTCACCAAGGTAGATAACTATCTGGAAGAAAGTATCCATCAGTAGGATTCTGTCAGGAAGAATACTGCTGCTGTCCAAAAGCACTGGCTGGAGAAAATAAAGATGAAAAGTCAGGCACCACTAAGCCTTCAGAACTGTGTTAACCTTCATGGCTGGCCAGATAGCTTGCTCAGCCCTGCCCGTATAGATGCAACTCCACCAACGGCTGCTCAGTCCATGCGAACGCCCTGCAGAGCCCAGTCAGCCTCCTGCAGCATCACTGAATGGAGCAGCACGTTATCAGCGACTGTATGAAGCACAGGATGCGAGAGAGCAATTTCTATGGCTATCCAAGTTTAATTCGAAATGATCTTGAACAAGAGTATCTCAAGAATAATAAGAAATAAAATGTGAACTCTGGCAAATGCTGCCAAGAAGGTTTCCAAGTGTTACTCCAACAGCTCCTGTGTTTCTTTCCTGCCAGACAGACTCATTTCATGGAAGCTATCAGTATAAGGGAATCCGTGTCTGTCCATTGAATACTTGCACATAGTTAAACACTGCTACATAAACAACTGAAAACAAGCAGCTGGTGGGAGATTATGATCTGGAAGGGCTGAGGCTTGCTGACTTACACAGTGGAGACAGCAGCCTCTGGCAGAGAAGCAAAAGTGATACTGACAGCAACAAGATTCACTGGATGGCAGGGGCCAGGGGCTGTGGCTCAGTAGCAGTGGGGAGGTTGTTCTGGGGGCCTTTTTTTGGTGGTTTGGGGTTTTTTTAATCGAAGCTGTATGCTTACTGAAAACACAATTCATATTTTACATTGCCCCATCTCATCCTTTAATAATTACCTTGATTAAAAAAATATATATAGGGGCCTTTTTGCTGAAATAGTGTTACTCTGACTGAATACTCATTATTTTGGATCAATCCACCTCTTCCTGTTAAACAGGGACTCACCTCAGGAGGTCCATGGAAAGAATAAGCATAAAGGATGGGCTGGATCATAATGAGAGACTGGGTCAAATCTTGCCTAGCAAAGTGGTGGCGGTAATAAGAAGATTCATCTGGACTGTTATTGAAGACCTGCAGGAATGGGGAGCGTCGCAGATGGAACATGAACTGCACCAGAAAGATGAGTGAGAAGAGAAATGTCAGCAGGTCTACCCTTTATTAACTCCTCAGAGTTCTTCCCTTATCAGTCATTCGCAGCACTGAACTACAGGACCAGCCCACCAAATTAAGAAAGCATCTGTTCCTCCCCTCTTGAATCTGATAAATGGTACAAGATGCTTTATCATGACTCTCACTCATCCTTGCACACTTTTCCCACGGCTGTGGGAAGTGAAGTTCTTACCTGGGGATACAAAGAAAATGATTCTGACAATCTGAAGGAGTTGGGATCATCTTTGTTGTATTGTCCAAATTTCTGACACTGTTGGAAGCAAAATGGATACTTTGGTTATCTCTCTCTCTTTTTTCTATTTTGTTTTCTTTTTTTAGAATTAACACCTTTTTTTTTTTTTTTTGGAAGGGTGTTCTTTTGGTTGTTTTTAAACAGAGCAACCAAGGCATGAACTTGACAATAACAAGTAATATAAAATTTACAGGCTATTTTTAAGTCAGTGGTTTCTGTATCTTACTGAAATGAGAATGATTATTTGATCTACTTATCTATTTTTATATATATATACATATATATATATATATATATAAAATCCAGATTTGAAATTATCTAAGAATGAAATAGTGCTTCTAGTACAACCCAAATTTTTCCATCAAATCAGGGATACTACGTTATACCTAAGCTGCTTTGTACACTATGAAACACTTCTGCAGCAACTCTCCTTCCTTCTAGAGCAGCAGCAGACTGGCATTTCATCAACTGCTTCACTGAAAATAAGAAGCATCAATGGTTTCAGCAATTTAACTATAAATGACTCCACAATCATTTCACCACGCAGCATGCCCATGTGTGTTCTGGTGCTCAAATCTTTATTTGATACTGGCCCTGTTTTTTCAGTGTCTGATGTGCCATATCTGTTAGTATCAACTCCATGTGGGTGTTTGGACAAAGCCAGAAGCAATTTAGGCAATTGAGGCTTGTGAAATTCAAAGCAAGAGACAGTATGAAGTTGTGGAAGTGATTACTACCCTGAACTTGGCACTGGTGAACTTGGCACATCCGAATGCTGTGTACAGTTTTGGGCTCCCCAGTGCAAGACAGACATGGATATACTGGAGTGAGTTTAGCAGAGGCCACCAAGCTGGTCAGAGGCTGGAGCACCTCATGTAGAAAGAGAGGCTGAAGAAGCTCTTTTTGTTCAGCCTGGTGAAGAGTGGGATCAGGGAGTCATATCGCTGTCTACAGCTACCTAATGGGTAGCTGGAGAAATGGAAATTCTGATGGGGGACAGAGAAAAAAAATAAAAATCACAGCGACTGTGATCAAACATGGGAACAGCTTGTCAAGAGAAACAAGAGAAACTCCATCTTTGGAGATCTTCAAAACACAAGTGAACAAGACCTGAAGCAACCTGCTCTAACTTCAAAGCTGGCCCTACTTTGAGCAGGGGAGTTGAACCAGAGACCTCCAGAGATCCCCTCCCACCTGCATTATTCTGTGTTTCACTATCACTTCTTTAATCTCAGGTTTAACCCTCTCAGCATAATGGGATGATTACTTACCCCATCACAAGTCTGCTGATCATACTGGCTTCTGAGCTATCGCATACTACAACTACATGACCATGATCAGAGCACAAATGAAGCAAGTCAGTCTGGAAGAAGAATGCTCTTTCCATTTCCAGAGACCATTTTTACTAAAATCAAGAGTGCACCCAACTGCAGTCTATTGGTCTTACCAGTCTGATCAACTGTCTGTCCAGCCATCGCAGAACATCAGGTCCTTCCTCCGATTCAGCTCTGTACACTCCCAGTCGTGCCATCAGCACAGCAGCTGCTTCCTGGTCAAACGCAGCTTCTATATGCTGGAGCTGACTCTGTGCATCTGCCCAACTATAGGGATAGTAAAGGGTTAGTGCTACGTGCATTCACCTTCAGCAAAATCCAAACCAGATTCATCCTCCCTGTGCCAAATACTCTGCAGCCAATGCATGCAACAAAAAGCTAGAAAAATTCCAGCACAGACTGCGGCTTAAGTTTCTGCCATTCTGCCAAAGAACTGACATGAAATACTCACTTTCTGGCTATGGTGGTGACACGAATGCGTTTCTGTGTACTGGAGTGTTGATACTGAGTGACAAACTGCACTGCCCCTCTGCCTCCCTGAGGTATTGGTGCGTTGTGCTGCAAATGAAACAAAGTAAGCCTTCAAAACAGGCTGGCTTTTCCATTGCTTTGTACACTACAGAGAACTCCAGGGCATCATTTGAGCAATCACAGAATAAGTACAAGCTAGAGATGGACCAGAGAAGAGAGACGCGTCTGTTAGTGTTGTGTTTTCCAGCAGCCCTCAGAGTCAAGTGGTGCTGGGCCCATCTAATATTGGGCATGACGCTTCCTCAGCTTGTCCCTTAAAGGATGGCAGCAACTTATCATCTCTACAGCAATGAATGTAAGAACAGCGTTATGAGGTCTGAGCAAAAGTCCTGCGACTCCACCATCCTATTCCCTACAGTAACAAGCCCACACAGCAGAGAAGACAGAGACACGCACATGTGGAATAGAATTCCTTTGGGGTAGCTTTCCGAGCTTCTAGCTGCCACACACACAGAAACTTCCCCAGCCAAAAGTTACTTCTCAGCCATCAAGTTATTACAGCTTGGAGGACCAATTCTCCAAGAATTTGAAGCTATTTATATTTTTATTCTCTACAGCACCTACTGGCAAAAAGACAATTTCTTCTTTGTTAAATAAATACAATAGAAAGAAGACAAGGAAACAATGCAGGTTTCATACAGAACAAAAATGTTAGGCAATTTATGCATATGAAAACGACCCCTGAGGCTATTTCTTTGGCACAAAACACACCATCCGTCTGCAACACAGGGGATGTCATTGCATTTTCTGGCCCTGTTACAAACAAATACTTCGGTGTGTAAAAAGGATGACCAAAAAAAAAAGAGAAGCCAGGACTGACCTGATTTACCACTTCAAAGTAAATGGCCAGAGTTGTGCTGGGATCCAGACTACAAATTTTCCATTGAGATGTTCCTCCAATTCCAAGCTCCTGCACAGAATTGAAAAGAAAGCAGCATTTTTGTCTCTAGCAGCAGATAAGGCAAGCTTATGTTACATTCTCGTCAGAGGTACAAGTTAAGGCAGGCCTTATTTCTTATCTTTTGGGTGTGAATAAAGTTACTGAAGGCCATACAGTTAAAAGAAAGCTTTATGGGGCAAGAATTCAGTCTAGGGAAGACTCTCTTTTCCTAGGGATGTTTCCAAATTGTTCTCCTTGAAAACTCTGACATTCTAGCTGAGCTGTAGGTCTAGTCAGAAACTTTGCTCTGTTTATTTACTTCTTTATTAAAGATTTTTCCATGTCAGAAACTTACGTTTTCAGAGACACACGGCCCTTTAGCATTCAGGGATATGCATGGTCCAATAGCTCCTGCAATTTTCAGCTCCCTAGAGGTCTAGAACAAGATAAAAAAAGTTGTTTGTTTGGGTTTTTTTTTTAAATCAAGTCAGTCAAATAGAATACACACAGACTAAATCAGTTGCTCAGCTTTAATCAGATGATGCATACACATGGCTGTCAGGGAAAGCATCTCTGAGTATTCTCCTAGATCACCTACTGCTACAATTAGCAGAGTAAAAGAATCTACATAGTCATGTTTTAATAATGAAGACATATTTATAGTGACCACAAGAGAGTATGAAATGTTCCTTGCTGAGTAAGGAGAGGCCAAGCTCAGCTGCTTTTTTTAAAAACAAACAAACAAACAAAACACACACACAAACTTAATAAGCTTCCAAACAAAAATCCTCCACTGACTCCAGTACGGTGCTTCTCCCAAAACAGGCACTATGGCTGACCTCAAACATGTAGAATTTTCTACACTCCAGATACTTAAATCAACTTTTGAATGAACAGCATTTGTATTTGCCAGTTAATGTAATCCAATAAAATTAATCTCTCACCTTCACATCCAAACTTGCACCAAAAGCCATCCGAAATTCCCCATTGAAGCCTTTGTTAAATACACGCTGGAAGGTCTGCTTGAAGAGAGAAGTGTTGAAGGAGTCCCCCATCACCATGTGTCCTCTGGAAAGAAAAAACAATACACAAGGGAACTGAAGCAACTGGGAACTAGAAGTAAAGCACAAAGGATACATCCCTCCAACTCTCACGCATGCGAACACATGCAGAAACTGTTTTAAAGCATGCCTTTGCATAGGTAGAATTTACGTCAGGGAACACAGATTCATGGATGCCTCCTCCAAAGCCAGACAAGTTAATGCTCCATCTTTGCCAGCTTGCTTTCTCAACTATATTTCTTGCCATCCCTTTAGCTGCCTTAAAAATGCTCATGTTCCACCAGTTAGAAGTATCTCAATTCAGTGAAGAGCTTTGCTCAGCCTCTTCTCCTGAGCAGGGCTGAAACCACCCACACTACAGACAGGATAGCTGCACCACTGCAGCATGAAGATGGGTGCATGGGTCTGTGCTGTGCCTCCCCAAAGTGCCTTGGTAAACCCAGGCCTGATCAGATGGAGCTGAGTAACACAACCAAAGGGTCAAACAATTTCTACTCTGCTTACTGAGCGTTATGTGATTATTTACAAATATCTTGCATTTGCTCAAACCACCCTCTGACTCCCGAGACACAGCAGATTTTAAATGGCCAGTAAGACATGCTGAGTCCCCAAAAGGCCCGGTTTGGTACACAGCCTTCCTCACAGAGACCATAATGTTTTCAGCAATATAGAACACAGACATTTACCCCTTAGAGATGTCACTTAAAACTAGATCCAGGGAAGCCAAGAGTCCCTGGAAAAAGCACAAGTGAGCTGTTAAGCAGAGAAAATCTGGCCCACACGAGGAAAGCTTCTACCCACCACACCTGACAGTCTACTCTTCTGATGGCACTTCAGTCATGCACAAGACACAAAGCACGGCATCTCTATCCCATAAATTCTGGAAAGGATACTTGCTATCTCCCAAGGAGGCAGAAGGCATTTGCAAAAGACATATTGCACCATGCTTTAGAATACCTTTCTCAAAGCAGGACATCGAGTTTTCTACCAGCAGTGCTAATTCACATGCTGTTTTGAGACTTCAGAAATGTGGACTGGGATCAGGTGAGGTTTGCCATATAATTCCTGGCAAATTCAAACCACAGTTTAGAATAGAATGATAAAAATCTCACCCTTTTGCCCTGACAGCAAACTTAGCCGCTTCCTGAACTGTTCTCCCCCTCCAAAAGAAAAATACAGGCGCCAATTTTGTGCTCTCCTGCTATGAACATACCCGGTAAGGTTTGCACAACACTTCATCTCTAGCAGTCCAGTCTGATCCAGGGCACAGGCATAGATGTCGATGCAATGCCCGTTGGCTGCAGTGCGATTAGCCAGCGTCTCGTAGTGCTGGGGAAAACATATGTGGTGTTTAGGATGCCACAATGGGCAATTTTTCTACTGCTCTCCAGCTGAGGCCAACATGTGAAACACAAGGTACAAATGAAGCAATTACCAGTGTTGTGGTAACTAAACAGCTTTTTGGTCTTACTGCTTTGCTGGAGCACGCTTCTCCCTCCTAGGATGTTTGCACTTGGATGAGCTTGAGTTGCATGTCACAAATACAGAGAGTGCATGAATTGCACAGGATCTTTGCCTGCGGAAACCCAAAGGTTTCCAGGTGATACTTAAGAGCACAGCTGTCATACTGCTTTCTCTAAGCTGACAGGAACATTTCATGTCTGACCTTTTTACTATTTGAACTGTTGTTTCATACGTCAAGAAGACAAAGAAGGCTTTCTGGAAGTGACCAATTCTTGGAAGACAGGTTTTCTCCTCCCCAGAAGGAGATACAATGATGTTGACGAACTCTCCACCCACTATCAGCTAAGAAACAACACCAAAATACTTCTTTCTCTGAGAAGGCACAACACCATGCTGGAGAAGTAACTAGGAGGAAGGTTTTTTTTACCTTTCCCTTGACCATTCTCACAATTTAATGTACACAAAAGGCTCAGGCACTTCAAGGACAATGATGCAAATATCTGGACATACTATTCCCATATCAAGAGAATGGAATATGTTTCTTCCCTGGGGAAGGACATTGGGCAGCCGTCAACATAGCAGTGTATGTAGGTTTGTGTTATATCCTTTCCCCCCATTTAGTGTTCTGATACAATATTCAGTTTTTGAACATACCCAGCAGGCACTAGCACCTACTTTTGTGGCCTTCTTCATGAACCTTGCATTGTCCTTCTCTATGTCGTGCCAAGAACGGATGGGTGTTTTCAGTTCATCTCCTACCACCATGCCTGGTCCTTGTGTTGGTGGCCCACCTGTAAACAGCATTATTCTGGCCCCTGTGTTTGGAAATGTGCCCTAAAATAAAAACAAAGACTTATATCAGAGTGGGGAGGGGAGAGAGACTGATTAAATGGCAACAATGCTTTCTTTAGAGAAGCATTTGCATGTGTTTCTGCAATGTCATTAGGGACCTGTCACTGCTAAAGGTTGCCTTGATAAACAGCGATGCATTTCCTGACAGTCACAGCACCCTCAAGTTTAGACTCAAGCTACATCAAGCTTCATGTCTTCATAACAGGAAGCAGGCAGTTTCTGTTCTTTTTACTTACATCTTAGATGACCCTCAGATAAACCCAGTGCATCGTATCACGTCCACATGGTGATACACACAGAGACCTTTAAACACCTGCATATTTTACCACTTAGATATAAACTCCCAGCCCACTCTACACCAGCTGGTGCTAACACATGTCCAATGTCAGTAGAGAGAAATTGCACCTCTGCAGCCCAACGTAACTGGGCCACAGACCAAGCTGGACTGACACCTGCATACGTCTCCGCAAAGACAGTCAGGTACTTACTCTGACCAGCTCATCTCAAACAAAAGCACTAAGAGTACCTCCAGTAAGCCAACAGCAATCGAAAGAGCCACTCCAGTGGAACGTAAAGGCCTCTTTCCCTGGGTCACTGGCCATGGGTCCCTTTGCAGTTCTCCAAGCAGATCTGTTAAATTCATGTCAATCTTATGTACTGGCTGCAGAAACCTGCAAAAATGAAAATAAAATGTTTTCCTGCTTATAAGTTTAGAGAAAAATAAAGTGCCTCTTTGTTCCTGGCACATATAAATTGCACCGAGATAGTTATCAGAAGCAAAAAGTCATGTAGCATGTTCCCTTCTTACATCCAAACCTTCCAAGATAACAGGCCTGTGCAAAATAAAAAATTTTATCAAAGCAAGACATCAGGAAGTGACAAGAACGTGAAGTCACATACAGCACAGGAAAGAACTATAATGGTGATTTAGTCTAGCAAAACGCACAAGAGCTGCCACTGAAAAAGAGGAGCTGAGAAAGAGAAAACTGTATTCAACAGAGGCAAATACAGCTTTAGTGTTCAGGGGTCACTGCTTGCCTGTCAATCATTTTTTGGACTTGCTGGGTCAGGGGGTAGGAGGTGGTATGTAGGATTGCTATGCAATGCATGGACCAGGTCCCCCATTGGCTGGTCAATCAAAAAGACAGGCCCTTGCTCCAAACTGCTCCTGAGAAATATGCTTTCCAAAACCAGCTATGTTTTTCAAGTAGAAATCTAGCTTGACTGGCAATCATGTTCTCGCAACTGCAAAGCCAAGGTACTGTAGAAGTCTAATACCTTGCCTGCAGCTCTAGTAAATCCCATCCATACGTATCACTTGATGTAGGGAAATAACTGTGACAAGACAATACCATTTAAATCTTCTTACAAAGACCCCTCTTGGGAAACCCAGGTTTAGAAGTGTGACCCCAAAGGGGCATAAAACATCTGCCCTGCTTTTCTGCTGTGCTGGTGCAGCTTACCTGCTTGAAATAACAGGTTGCTCTGGAGTCTGAAGAGGTCTTCCCTGTTGAATGGGGACAGCTGGCCTTGAAAGCCCAAGCATATCCTAGAAAGTAGTAAAGAGGAGGCACAGGAGATGTATTATTCAAACACTAAACATATTTGCTGTCAAGCAGTACACCCTGAGGCCTGCAATACCGTAGCCTTAAATACATTAAAATCTGTGAAATGTAATTAATTTTCATACTCCCATTAGGAATGGATTAATGCCATTATGTGAGACACACAAACTCTATCTTGGACAAGCTTCCAAGGAATTTACAAAGGCAAAAAGATAGGACAGATATTGGGAGGGAAACAGGCTAACAGTCAAGAGCACTGAAGCCTCCTTCCTCCCCGAAAGCCCAGCGCTTGAAAGACCAGCAGTGGTGTCAACAGAGCTAACAGGAACAAGCCACTGCCTAAGAGATGGCAGAACATACCTGTATTTGCTTAGCTGTCAGGTCTTTTGTGCCCCTAAACACGTAGCTCTTGGAAATCCCTTCGCAGCTCAGCTCGTGAACCTGGACCATTCTGCCAAAAGTGATAAGCCCCACCAGAGCATCGGCAGGCAGCAGACTTAAGGACATCTGGAGGGACTCCTTCAGCGCCTGCAAGTCCTCCTCTTCCAGGCACGTGTCAACAACATACAGGAAGATCAATGGCGTCTGCGGACCCCGCTAATGTAGAAAGAGATGGGTTTACTAGGTGTGTGCATATGCCAGATGACACTTTAAATGCCTTCAGGAATAAAATGAGCCCTATCTTAAGCACCTTGCAGAAATGTTATTTATTTGCATTAACTTAAGGAAATCTAATACATACATAATCTGTCACAAACAAGACAATTCTGGTGGCTTCAAACTTTCCTATGATTCATTTACCTGCACTATATATTCAATTGTTGAAAACTGAGGCATAAGCTCTGCTGGTTGGTTGACTTCAGATATGCCTGCATATGCTGGAGGGAACTGAAAAAGAGAACAAAAAATTAGGACAAGGAAGTTACAGGACAGAAATGTAGGGCCCTCCTCTGCAGTACAGAGGCTGCCCTGCTCATGACGTGTTTATTCAACTCTGTGTTTACTGCCACTGCACCAACCTGATTAATTCATGACAAGAGACCCATACTGCTGTTTTCCTAAGCACAGACAACAAGTGGCCAGCAGGATCGACAGCTGCTCAACCCAGTGTAAGTAAAAGGTAGAACTAAAGCAGTGACTATGTATTAGCTGAAATTCATTTAGCCATGTGACAGTTTCTGATGGCAAAAGTCTACTCAAATCTAATTAATTTCATACTTGGCAAGAACAGTAAACGTCAAGTGCAAAAAATACACTGGAAACACGTGGGACGAAATAGCATTTTTATCTCCTTCCTATGCCCTGCATACTGATAAAATCACTGGCAAAACTGAACTGAAAATAGACAAGACGTCAGGTAAAAGAGACCCATTAACAAGTACTCTGGCCTGCATTCGGCAAGAGAAAAAGGCCAAGGGAAGGAATCTAGAAAAGTGGAATTTATGCTTAACATCCTTCACCAGGGGAGGCCACGAGGGGAGGCCACCAATAAAATGTTTCACTGAAAAGATAGAAGGGCTGATGCTTTTTCCAATTTACCTGATTTCTCTGAAAACAGAAGTTACAAGCCCAGAGCTTGGCCCGATAGTCGACTTGGCTGCAAGGGAAAGATGAGATGTCAATATAACTATATTTTACAGCGCAGCTTCACAATTATCTATGCTGGTTCACAGCACTAAGGAAAAAACAGAATATCAGACACTCCAACTTGAACGACAAGAGTTTTAGGGATTCAGACTCTTGTTCTATTGCCAGAAAGTCCCTTAGCTTATCCAGCCCTGCCACTTCCAGGCTTGTCAGCGTGACAGACCACTGACAGCTCTCCAGAGCGAAGCCTTTCGCATACAAAGACTTGAGTCTAATCATTCTTTCACTACCCTTGGGCTTATCTCAGTCATCTTATTGTTTGTACAGCTGTAGCACACAAGTACTCCAGCCACAGAGCAGCAGGAGCCATTCACCCAGATGCTGCACAAACACTGAATAAATAGGCGGTTCCCTGCCCCTAAGAGTTTACTCTCTTCAGCCCGTTACAACACACTGTTACTGCTGGTGCAGTAAAGCCTGGCCATATTCTTACTTCATGGGCCTGATCTCATTTTACTTTCTCTTCCTGGCCTTTCCTGCTCTTTCTCAGCCCAACACTATGCTCTGAGTATGTATGATCATCACATGATTCTGGGGCCAAGACTATTCCTCTCAAATTCTCAACAGAACTTCAAAGAAAACCTTGATGCTCATGCCGGAACTGACCTACAAGCAGCTGGATGTGTAAGAAGCTGGAAACCAAGTGAACATCACAGCCCAGACAACATTATTGGTATAATCAGCATCTTTGTTTATTTTAAGTTTCATCATTCACCACCAAATTCTCTGGGGTGGTAAGAGGACTGGCCATTTCCATACCACCTCTGCCTTAATAGCCTCCCCAAAGGCACTCATCTCTTCTCGGGTTCTTGCAGCTCTAGTAACAGGCTGGCATTCAGTATATCTTATTAGGCACACATGGATTTTAACAAACCCACTACCTCTAAATGAAAGAGGCTGCCAGACACAGGGCAAAGAAAAAGGGGAACAAGGAAGTAGTGAAGTTCGGATAAAAACTAGGTACCATCCAGCCTCTCTTAACATCCCCAACCAAGAAATTCGTACCAGAGTGGGCTGAGCACTGCTTTGCAGGTTGGCCTGCTACAAAGCACCGGTTCATACTGCACAGGTGGCAGGTCAAGACGCTCCTTCAGTGGGGTCAGAAGACAGGCCAGGGGGACAACCATCCTTGTGGCCTCCAGCCTGCTGGAAGGCCACACGTTCCAGCTGAAACGGACTCCATCACGCTCCTCGTTTTGCTGGATGAACTCCATGTACGTCGCCATGGGACTGCAGCTCTGAAAGGATGTAAGCAACACACGTTCAGGCAGTGGTCGCCTGTTTGGACAACGGTCCTGCAAAGAAGGTCAGCAGATCAACTACATATAGGCACGAGACGTTGCTGGACAAAGCCAATACATTACAAGGAGTTAATCCCATTATCAAATGAACCATGTGACTACATTAATCTCTTCTGTCCAGTGCTCTCATCAACATTCCAGACAATTAAAACACCACCAAATCCCATGAAGAAACAAGGAAATCTGACAGTCAAAGCCAGAATGCAAGTTGTTTTTTTTCTTCTGATCCACATTTAACTTTTCAATACCCACTCAGCCTCATGCTGGCCTCAAGGCAATCCTGCCTGACTCCGGTCAGTAAAGTAAAACAGGTCAGATTTGCACACATCCTGAAGCCTTCAGCTAAAACCTCGGGGGGAAAAAAGAAGGCCAAGTTTGAGACCAAGACACTCATCACAAATGTCACCTGGTTGCCAGCCTGACCTGCTTACAGCTGGAAAGGAGCACATGACAAAAGGGTCAGAAAAGGTCTTTGGTGATTTTAGACACCCTCTGTGCGTGGCACCATGTCCCACTCCCAGTAAGGGAGGAATTGAGAGTCCAGCAGACTTCAGAAAAGACATGCTATCCAAGGAGAGATATCCCCAACACACCAGAGAAGTCACTCTCTGTATTGCCTTACTAAACTCTGAAGAGTAAGATGCCAGCAAGAGCTCCCAGGCCATCGTTACCTTTGATGTCTCTGAGAAAGGGAAGGACAAGCCTACTGAAAAACTCACTCGTCGAATCCAGCCCACATACAACAGAGAGCACTGGCAGCAACTCAGAGCCAAGAGCAGCAGCACCACAACCCGCTCCAGATGAGGAAACTCAGAGGTTCACCTGCAGCTGCAGATGCTCCAGGACTACCTTACTCCTGGTCCTCACTGCAGGCGGGAAATTCAGGAGGGCCATAGGCATGAGAAATCAGAAGCATCACCTCGCCCAGAGGAGGAGAAGTTTTGATGTAACATTTTCCTACAGACCTCCAAACTCATCGACGTTTTCTTTGTCCTTGCTATTAAGGATGTAAATCAAGCTCACAGGGAATTGCCCTGTATTTCAACCCCCACCTCTGGATGGACAAATGGAAGGGTTCAGCAACACATCCCCACCACAAATGGGTCTGTCAGGGTAAAAGTCAGAGCTGAGCCTCCCTATAAAAGATCCCACACATCAGAACATCAAGACATACGCCTGACATCTCAGGTACACAGTGCAACCGCAATGTAAATTTACTCCATGTTCCTCCAGCTGCAGCTCAGCACCACTGCCCTGCCCCAGGCTGAGCCCCGATTGCCCGGCTGGGTTTTGCCTGGGCTGTGGCCCTGCTTTGGGGTCAGGATGGCAGGAGGGGAGATGCCCCCGCCCCCATGAGGGCTGTGTAGGGCCAGGTGCCTGCCCAATATGCCAGCCCCCCACCAGTGCAGGCCCCTCCAGCCCCAGTCCTGCCGTGACCTCCAGGGCCCATCCTAGCAGTAGGGAGGTCCCAAATCCCCTGTCCAGGAGAGGACGGACCCTTCCAAAGCCACAGCAGATGAGTGGTAGTAGCATTCCAGTCTCTGTATGGGATCTGCTATAGGGCACACTGCTGACCCCCACTCCTTCCAGCAAAGCTATAGGCGATGCTGCTGCTTCCTAGCAGTGCTATAGGGAACGCCACAGATCACCCAGCTGCTGTGCTCAGCACAGCTATAGGGGACACCATACAGATCCCCAGCCCTTCACCAGGAAGTGTATAGAGACCTTCACCAGAGATCCCTAGAGAAACCATAGGGGCCACCTCTGACCCCTACACCGCGGACCCCCTGCACTGCTACAGGCAGGACTGCTGACCCCCTGCACTGCTACAGGCAGCACTGCTGACCCTCAGCACAGCCCCAGGGAACACAGCAGACCCCAGCCCTGCCCTGGGGGACCCTGCCAGGCCCCAGCACCCTCAGCACAGACCCGGGGGTCACTGCCGATCCCCGGCCAAGGAAAAGCTCCTGGGGACACGGCTGAGCCCCCGTGCTGCTCTATGGGACACCACTGACCCCCCCCAGACCCTCCTGTAGGAGCCAACACTGACCCTCCCCAGCACTCTCCGTAAGGGACACCACAGACCCCCCCCCAGCCACTCCCACGGGGAACCAAACAGACACCACCACCCCCCCCAGACCCTCCTCACCGGGGACACAACAGAACTCCCACAAACCCCACTCACAG